GCATGGACCTCCTCGTAACAGGCAGCCTTCCTCGCGAGTCCCGACCTACGTACCGGAGGGGCTAAGGGGCTAGTGCGCGCTTCCTCTGTGGGGGGCGGGGGGTGCGCGAAGCCTGTAGAAGAAGAGATGTCTGAATCATAACTTGCAAGTTGTGAACTTTTGTTGGGAAGTGGGACGGCTGGTATTCTGGACCGGTGGAAGCCCCTTCGAGCTTCTCTTAGGAGGGGTGCACAAAACTAGAACAAGAGGAGAGAGGGGGCCTGACGAAGAAGAAGAGGGCGGAGGGAGGGTTTCGCATAGCCTATAGGAGAGGAAGATAGAGAGAGCCTTGGAAATCATACGAGCCAGCCATACTACTACGGGGGTGTCTTTCCAGTTGCTGGTCTTGTGGTTGGTACACGGGGCCTGGACAGTCCCGACCACATCACAGGGACGCATTGGCATTGCCTCGGTGCGCGTTGACGGGGGGATCGGGGAGCGCAGAGCCTTCAGAAGAGGCTTGTCCCCAGCCCTGCTCTAGGGTGGCGCATGATCCACACCCTCACCGGAGTTTGAGTGTTTGTTACAGGCCCCGGTGAGACCTTGCGCTCCTACTCACGGAAGAAGGAGGGAGGGGGAGCGGCCCCAGAGCAGATGCATATTCTGATTTACTGTTGCACCATCCCTCCTCATGCCTCTACAAAAGTAAAGTATCCTCAGAGAGAAAAGAACTTGAAACGCCAGGGATGAGTTTGCAGAGCAGTTCGTTCGTGCTTCCCTGTATGTGAGCGGGGACATGGCTTGTACAGGATCAAGCCCCCCCCTGCGCAGCTTCATCGGACCTGCGTTTCTGAAACCGCCCGTCCTGGGACCCCATCCCGAAAGCAGGCTCAAATTCACTTGCGGTTTTGAGGAACCCCCGCTGGCCAGCATCATCAGCATCAGAACCGGTCATTTTCTCCTCCTCCTTGCTTCTAGGCTAGCCCGTGCCTGCCTCGCCAGGCATTATGGGGTTGATGAGGGTCGGATGCTGGCCTCACAGCGGCCCAACATCGTTCTGTGCGGGTTTCATGACGGATTTACCTTGTTTTTCCTTGGTAGTTTTTGTTTGGTGTGTTGATGGGGTCGTGGTTTTATGCAGGTTTGGGAGGGGGTTCGAGCCTGGCTCGTGTGACTTGTTATGAGCCGAGAAAGTGTGCACTCAAGGAGAGGCACGGCAAAGGGGCACAGGGGCCAACAAGCTGGTGAAGTGGACCCCTGACTGGAACCCTGTTTTTTAATGCTGTTTGGTCTTCTGTGTTGTTGTGCTCTCCAAAGCGAGCCCAGGCAGTCCAGTAACCAAGTGAACTCCCATCCACCGACCCATCGGCAAAAAATCACGCCACCTCCCCAGCCCCTCCAAACAAAAAAAAAACACGCACCCGTCCAAACAGCAAAAACAGGATGCCCCCGCCCAAACAGCAAAACACAAAAACAACAAAATGGCATCCCCACGACAGCAACCCGACAGCAGAAAACAGTGCCCCACTGTCCCAAAAACCACCAAACTCACCCCGCCCAACCTGCAAAAAATACTCCGCTACATGTACCCCCTGCCCTGGCAGCAAAATAAATACGACCCTGCGGTGCATTTGCACGGAAATCGGGGGCATGGGACGTCCACATTTTTGCGCACAATGATGCTCTTGCTCTCTCGCGTGGAGCGTCCTCGCAAATTCGCTTCAAATCCAGCTCTCGCGTGGAGGGTCCCGCCCCCAACACTGTTGATTGACAAGCAAAGACAAGTCCGGGCAACTGACAAAAAGCTTCTAAAACAGCCTACCTGTACACACATCCATGTTTTGTTAATTGGAGGCCGCCTCCACCCTTGCTTTCGCCAGTAACATATGAAACAGTGAGCATGCATCTAGCACTGCAAATCCTTTCGAGGCTCCCCAAGAAAACCCTATGTGAACAAACATCTTCGTTCATGCTGTGCCAACGGCTGCCCTCCCCAACACCCTGCTTTTGTAAGTAACATTTCCACATAGTAAATACTTGTGGAAGCCCACATGTTCTCATCGTCGTTCATGATTTGCAAAAGGGGGCTGCGCCCCCACCCCTCCGCTAGGTCTTCAAAAGGCATGCACATCAAAAAGATTAGCATCGAGGACAACATGATAAGCATCAACGGAAAGTACAACATCAGAAAAAGGTAGGTAAACGGATTTCCTAAGTGGTTCAGGTCCCTTGGTCAGGTGGTCCTGCGGTCCGCTGGTCCTCCGGTCCTTTGGTCCTTTGACCAGTCTTGTACAATTTAGAAACCCCAGAATACTGAACCAACCAAAGCAACTAGGATCTTCACAGCGGCCATCGCAATCATACAGCTTCTAGTAGCTCTAGTAATCATAGTTGTCATGGTGTTCATAGTAGTTATACTATTGAGTGGTGATAGCAATAATGACACAACACGTGAGCTATAGTCTAAACTCCTTTGAAGGGAGTTATATAGGGGAGTATATAGGGGAATATTCAGAGATTACTAAGCAGGATACTAGGAGTTTAGACTATAAAGCTCACGTAATAATTTCTGTCTTTCTATCTCTAGTATTCAATATTCACAATACAAATACCAGTACTCATAACATGAAGCACGAGGAATACCAATGGTACGGTTTTTTTACTACTACTACTACTACTACTACTACTACCACTACTACTACTACTACTACTACTACTACTAATCCTTGGAGGCTTGTTTTTTGGGATAGTGTTTTTTTTTTCAGGGTTTGGGGTGAAAGGAAGCAGGCACGCAAGGGAGAAAGCAGTGAGCAAGGAAAGACGGAACGCAAGGAATCCTCATCAACAGCTGCCACTTTTGTTAATGGTTTGCACTTAAACCCGCTCTTTCTTAAATACTTCTCATAATGAATCATCATGCACAAAACTACTACGTACATGTCATCAATGGTTTGCAAATGGTGCAGGCTGCACCCCCGCAACCCTGACGGTTTTTTAGCATGAGCCTGCATCATGTCAAATCGTGAATCGTTGTCAACAACTTGCCTCGAAGCTCCAAAAAGCAGGACTGTTCTGCACTTCGCCACCGAAAGGCTCCAAAAGCGAGTGCAGCTCCGCACTTTGCAGATCGAGGTTCCAAAAGCTTGTGCACTTGGCCACCACGAGGCTCCAAAAGTGATCACAGTGCTGCGCTTGGTCATCAGGAGGCTCCAAGGGCGATGACAGGTCCGCATCTGGCCGGTGGGGGAGAGGGTCGGGGGTCGGGGGGGTTGAGGGGAGGCGAGTTTTCGCTTTGTGGTAGTGCCTAAACAGAAAAATGGCCATGCCCAAACAGGAGAAAAAAAGGTGCCATCGCCCAAACAGCAAAACAACACGCCCCCGCCAAACAGCAAAACACCTGCCCCGCCCAAACGACAAACAAGACCAAACGACAACAACGACGACAACGACAACAATGACAACAACAACACTCTTGCCATCCCCAATTATGCTGACAATGCTGACGATGTGGGCCACATCATCAGCATCATCGAGGGTCCGTTTCTCTTTTTCCCGGCGCTACTACTGAAACCCACCATTACTTTTCCGACCACCCCTTCTATTCCTAGCACTTCTACGTACTCCCGCTAGAACCTAGTTCTTGCCCATATTGCTTCCATCTCTGTTACTCGTGCCCTCGCTGGCTTTCGCTGCTGGTTCTGAAGGCGGCAAGGTCGGTCCCCGCTGCTAGGTCAAAAATCAAATTCTCGAAAGCTGGCGGAGAGAGTCTTGTTTTTGTTTCTGCTACTTGTTTTACATAGCAATGAGGCTCGCAGCCGCCTGGGAAGCCGGAAACACTTGATTTCTCAAGAACTCGCGCCGCCGCCACGAACATGACCACAACCAGTACCACCCTCCACAACTGGACCCAAGACGACAACCCATAACGACCAAGATGGCCGTCCACAACGACCACCGACCATGAAGACCGCAACGACCACCACACAACCACACGGAAAACCACCACCACGTCGACCAGTAGCACCACGACGACCGCCCGCGACGAATGCTCACGAGCATCTGAGTGTGAGCGCTTCCGTGCTGATCCAGAGCACTCGGAGCAAATCCGCACGCATCATTATTCCCAACTCCCTGCCTGCAGTTCCTCCCATGGGCGCCCAAATGCAATCCCATGGCTAAATTGCCTCTCCCTCCACGCCAAAAATCAAGAATGCGCAGTGTGGTGTTCTGGGGCCCAGACGCTCAGTGGGCCAGCACACGAATCAGCAACGTCATCTCACTCCTGCCTGCACACCACAGCACTGCCAAGGACATCCAAACAGATTTCTCTTACTTTCTTTGCGCTACTGTCGTTCTTCTTAATTACCGATAGTAGTCGCTTCAAATTCATGACAGCCCAAGCCTCGCCCCGCCGGGGCATGTGCTCCTGCTCAAACATCCACCTGGCGTACCTTCGAACAGAGTTTAAGGTCCTGCCCACACATTCAAACACGGAGACGCCCAAGCATCCCGGTTCCCAGTCCCCAAAACCTTTTGTAGGCGACGCGAGAATTTTTGGAATGCAAAACAACATCTCTAGTTTAACCGCGCTCCGCGCTACTGCAACGTCGGCCGCGCTTTCGCGAAACTGCATGCCTCTGACTTGAGGGGTGGCCAGGCAACGAAAGTTATGCTGGGTGAGGGTCGCGCAGCTCCCATATCCCAACCCCAGCAGCACCTTTCATGCAGTTCAACCGGTATTCTACGCGGTGCCGCGGTGCATGCGCAGTGCGGCCGTGTGGGCGGAGGGTGCTGGGAGGGTCAAATGGAACACCACAACCCGGAAGCAATGCCGTCCACATGATAGTGCGGCGATTGCACCGAGCCCCGACAACCCATGCAAGCCTAAGATCTTGACATCCGAAAGCAATTTAGCTGCAAAGGACGACTTAGAGCTGGAACGCCATGGTGAGAACCAGGCCGGACGCAGCAAGAATGATGGAGCAGAAGTCACCGGCCTGAGACAGGTTTTTGTCAAGAAGATCCTTGGACCGGGCCCAGCTCTGCAGAAGAATGTTCTGGTTGGTGACGTGGTGTCCAAGGCCACAGCAAGTGCCCATGGTTGGGCATGGAATTGTTCTTGTGCGACCTGCATCAAGGTGAATAAGCAAAAGATAGAATGGAGAAGTTATCTGTCGGAAGAGGAGAACGAGCACATTGAGCTGCTCGGACGGAGCATCATCACCACCTATCTTGCCAACTGACACAAACAAGATACGGACAGCGCATGAAAGAGCTTCAAGTACGTACTGCGCGTGATTTTGCGAAGCTGAGGCGTGCTTTGCGAAGACCTCAGTTTTTGAAGCTGCAACGGTTTGCCAGCATTTCTGGATTTGGGTAAGTGTTCAGGAGAGCTGATTCAAGACAGCTGTATTGAACAGAACTGTTTGATGGCATCTCCTTCCGCTGTTTTCGATGCAAACTTGCTTCTTTCTTGCTAGCTAGTTTGGAGAAAATCAGACCAGGATTCCCGACAAGGAGGACGGCTCCTTGACTATCGTATTCCAGGCTGGTGTCCTGGATAAGCAGAAGCAGCAGCAGCAGCACTTTGGCTTGAAGTGCGCATTCAATGTGTTGTGATGTCTTGCGGATGCTTCCGACAGGATGCTCCGAAGAGGTCATTCATGCAGAGGCTTGCTCAGGCCGCATGCAGCATGGTGTGGACTCATCTTATTCTTGCAGGCAAGGTCGAAAAGGCTGATGCTGTTCAAGTGATCGGGGGTTTGCATAGTACACGTCCATATGAGCGACAGACCAAAGTTCCGTCTATGTACTCCAACATGCTCCGGAACGTGTAAAATGAGATGGAACGAGATCGCAGAACGAGTCATGGGCCATGCAAGAACTACGGACTGCTGCTTATGTGTCGCTGCGCGGGTGTCTCCTACTGGCACAGGTATGCTGCAGGTGCGTCCATGGCTTAGACGGAGCGTGAGAGCTCAAGCAGAACCCTTCCTCACTTCAAACTGCAAGAGCATCAACCTGGGCATGCCATGCAGCATTTGTGGAATGGTCGAATTACCAGGTCGGAGCGAAGAAAAAAGTGAAGCCCGGAGTGGGTCTGAGGTGCTGATACATGCAATTTCCCCACCCCGTGCACAGTGCCTGCTCGCCAAGGCCAACAAACCTCGACCGAGTTCGCCATGGCCAAAAATCAGGCGATGAGGCCTGTTGACACAGGAGAAGGGAGTAACAACTCTAAGATCAACTGATAGACCTGAGATGCCTCGATCATGGCCTCCTGTCAGGCCGACTGTGCGAAACTTCTGGAGATCTCACGGCACGCGACCTTGTTGACTCAACCGCATGCAGCATGGGTCAGCATGATACAGACATGTGACAACCAGGTGCTATTGCAGAGGTGGAGAAAGAATCACTTGGCGAGTGGACGCAGGAGGCAGCGCCAGCTACAGTCGCTTGCCCGTATGCCCAGCGCTAGATGGGAGTAGTACGTTTTTAGGTTGAAATGAGGGGCTTCATTTTGCATGCTCTTAGATTTGACGTCTTGTTGTTCGGAAGCTCCCTGATTTTTTCGTGAAGGGTGGTGACTCAAATATCTTGAAGAGCAATTCTTGGCCACGAGGAGCAACAATGTAGCAAACTGCGGATGAGTTTGCAAAATTGCCGACGCGAAGCAGAGCAACTGCGCGCCCTTCACACAATATGTATGTCATGATGTCATCGTGAACTGGCTTGCCCGTCCACCTCCAGGGTCATTCATTTTTGGGGGTGTCACACGAGCAAGTCGTTTGAGTCACTCTGATGCATTCCACACACGGCAACCTTCAGTAACTTGTGACTTGTGAGTTTTGCATTGAGTGATGCCGTTCCTATTCTAAAGCCGGATGATGCCCTGGCCTTCCACATTCCTCCCACCCACTTCCTGGACTAAGTGGTGGCTGCCGAACTTCCTGTTCAACACTTACATGTCGAAGCTTCCTCCCCCACAACCAATTGAATGTAGTCATATGTAGTCACTCCCCCTGTGTTAGAACACCCCCTAATATAAAACATCTTTCAGGGCCCTGGAGGAAGGCACCACCCAATAGTGAATGAGGGGGCTTCTGAGGTCATCAGAAGGGTCGTTGTAAGGAATCGTGATTTCCTTAATTTACTCTTTGCTCCTTGTTTTCTTAGTAGTTATTATACAAGATGTCCTATGCAACAATCTCGCAGAAATGTTGATTTAGCGGATCGATTTCAAGTAGTTCGATATTTAAACAGAAAGTAACACATTACGGGCCCCATATTTACAGCACTCCTGGTTTTAGCTCGTTTGGTAAAGTGAAGAAGTGAAGGACCCTTCATATGATTACCATCATATGCTCCATACTATATATATATATATCACACTGCATAGAATACGTATAAAGTAGGATATGGTGCATAAAGGAATATGGATAGGAATTGTATTATATCTCTAAAACGTGAGACTAGGATTGAATGGTATGGTTGTGAGGGCGATGGACCAAAAGGCCAGAG